GGTACCAAGAATGTTGATTGTGGGTCCCACTAAGATAAAATCATGGGCAAGTTCAATCTTTTCTCCAACTATCATGATGTTGTTTATTGATCCAGTGATGAGGATTTTTGTCTTCTTGATGTGGAGATACAACTCATATTGAAGGCTGTAGTCCTTGATCTTCTGCAGCAAGCATTTCAAGTCTTCTTCACTTACAGCAAGTACTAGGTCACCTACATAATGCACGTTTTAGATGAGGCTTCATCCAATCCTAATGCCACGTTTTTCTTCATAGAGTCCAACTTCTTGAATGATCTTCTCAGCACACAGACTGAACAGGTATGGAGAAAGGTTACAACCCTGATGCACACCTTTCCTGATTTTAAACCATGCAGTGTTACCTTGCTCCATTCAGACAACAGCTTCTTGGCCTAGGCATAGGTTTTGTATAAGCATTATTAAATGTTCTGGGACGCCCATTCTTCTCAATCTTAGCCATAGTTTGATCCATATAGTCAAAAGAGAGAGAGACCCTAAACAAAATAGATTGACCAGTGACAGCAGCAATGGGCTCAAGTGTGTCGGAGATGATGAGGCTGACACAGGACAGGCCAGAGTTCAGATCTGTTGTTCACAGGGTCACTATGAGTCATACTCATATAACAATAGAGTATAGACAACATGTAACCAGTAATATCTAACAGCTTGGGTCTCAGTTCCTCCATCTGTAGAGCAGAAACACGAGGACTGAGTGAGATGATCCGTGCAGAGCCCAGCACTGTCCTTGTGTACAGGAGGTGCTCAGTGAACGGCAGCTCTTCTTTGTGATGTTATCATCCTCTCCTCTCTGCTCCTCTTGGCCTCACTTCAGGCAGGGCCATAGCTCCCTCGGGCTCTGGCACATAGTAGGCATCCACTGAAAACTCATCCAGATGACCAGCAGGTGGCCCCACACCCCAGTTAACTTGCCCTGTCTGCTACTTCCCCAGCTGCTCTGAGTCGCGGGCTATCCTCCGCTACCTTCTGATCAGGGGGCAAAGGACAGAATAGACAGAGTCCTGGTCTCCTTGGTGACCAAAGCCTTTTGGGCCCAACCACCGCCCTTTCCCTCTTCTCAACCCTAGCCCTGCGCCAACCTTGCCAGGATTACTTCCATTTAACAGGTAAGAAAATTAAGGCCCAAAGAGGTACATGATCTGCCTGAGACCACAGAGCATTCCTTACAATCCACTAGCTACTGATGACACACCTCCTGAAGAGGCTGAGAAGGATCTGGTTCTGATTATTAATGTCTTATTTCACTGATTAGGAATCACAGAAAGGGGAACTGCCTCAAGGCCTCATGTGGACTGAAGCTCAGACATCCCGATTCTAAGACCAAATGGCCACACACACAGGATGGAGGATAATATCCCAGACCTTTCTCTATCAGTTTCAATCGTTCCAAGGGGTAGGCATGTTCCAGGAGAGTGAAAGAATTAGACCTTGATGGGCTTGGGAGCTGCTTTGAAGGCCCTCCAGGAATGCAAGGGTTCAGCCCAGGCATCCAGGCCCAAAGACAGCCGCCTAGACTTGGTTTCCTACCCCATGCCTGCCAGAGAGAAAAAGTTCCAGGCAGGCCTGGAAGCACTGAGACCCCTGCAGAGGCTGCAGCAGGCTGCATTTTGAGACTCATTTCTGATGCTGCTGTGAAGGGGCTGAATCAAGGGGCTGGCATGGAATAGCAATGAGCCAGGCCACTGGAAGCCAGCCAGCAGCACCAGGTTGGCAGGACTGATCGGGTCAAAAGGAGCAGTGCTGGGCAGAAACCCCCACTCCCACACAGAGGTACACTCACACAGGCACGTGTGATCAAGGTGCACCCCTTTTGTGGATTTTTTTTTTTTACTGAAGGTCCAGGGAAGCTCCCACGAAGCCTGTGGAAATGCCTGTGTACCTGGACAAGCGGATGTGACTGCGTTGTCACTTGGCTCAGCTCATCTGATTCCACCTGCTAGTCAATTATTTGCCACTCTTCCATAGAGAGCCACGCTAAGGCTCAAAAGGAATGTGATCCAGCCAGGCGCCCTGTCTCCCAGGCCTGGCTCACAGAAGAGCTTAATTCAGTTCTGGAGACTGGGATCCAGATCCTGAGCTGGTCTTGTTTCTGGGCCAGTTTCCCTATGGGGTCTTGGAAGCAGCCAAGCAATCATGAGAGATAAGGGGAGCAATCTTTCCATCCTCTCCTCTGCTAATGGTTCTATTCCCCAAGGTTAGCCAACTAGAATCTTTCCCTAGTTTAACCAATTAGAATCCTTTCCTGGTTTGACCAATCAGAACCTTCCTTGGGACTGGCATGCAGTCACCTCAGTAGATGCCCTCCCGGCCAGGACTGCTGCATGCAGTCTTGGACTTGCACTTGGAGAAGCTTAGTGCAGGTGGAGGATCAAGGCCAAGTATGGGAAAGAGCACAGATGAGCAGAGCTAAGGGGATGATGGAACCCTGCCAGATACTTTTCTTAGTCACTGGAAACAAAACTAGGGCCCTTGCTGTTGTATCGAGTCCAATTCATTCATACGTTTACATCAATTCCCTGTTTGGTTTACATTGCCCTCTGGCATTCCTCCCTCCCCCATTACCTTCCTTCATAGACAACAAGGTCATGTGGTTTATGATGTTGTGACCTCTCTCATAAATGTAAGCTCCCTGAGGTGACACCCCTGTCTGATGCATTTACTGCTCCCTCCCTTGCACCAGCTTGGGGTCTGAGGAATAGTGGGTCCTTAGTAGCCAAATTAAGAAGTCCAAATGAGCCTCTGCAGCTTCGTGGTTAGAGAAATAAATGCCTTTGCTTCTACTGGACATGAGTATGCATGGAGGGTGGGCCTAAATGGCAAACCCCATGGTACCCCCAGAATTTCTCTGGGGAGCTCAAGAGTCCTGCTAAAGGGTGGGTTGCCTTCCTATATATGATTGGAACTGAGGCCCAGCAAGTCCAAGTGACGCCACTCTGGAGAGAGGATATTGGGGGTGAGACCTCAAAGGTGGAGACCTGATTTCCTGGGTGAAAAGTCCCAGAAGAAGGTGTGGAACCTGAGCCACTTCTCCCTTGGAAAACTTTCTCCTCTCCTTCCTGACAGGTAAGGATACTGAGGGGCTGATGGCTGCTCTACATGAGCCTGCACTCTCCAACTTCCCTCAGTTCTTCCTTCACACATCTGCCTAAACCCTCATTTGGGCAGGCACTCATGTCACCCCCAAGGCACAGTAAACGGGGACCAAAGGGGTTGGGGAGCTTGCCCAAGGTTGCCAGGTTAGTTTCTGGAGTGTTTGCCTGCCCCAGACCTTCTACCATTTGGCACCCTCCCCCACAACTTGAGGGGAAGGCGGCAGAGCCATGGTTTGGAAGTCTAGGAGGTTCCAAGAGAGGAGCTGGGGAGAAAATGCCACAGTCAGAGCCCCCCTGGAGGCTGCCTGCAAGGGCTCCCTCGGGCTGAGGGTGCTATGTTGTGGAGTAGTCAAAAGACAGTCTCCCAGCGGCCCGCCCCCTTCCCTCCCCTCCCCGACATTCTCGCTGCCAAATGAAATCTGGCAGCTTCTGAAAATAGCTCAGCGCTGCAGCAGGCACTCCGCCCGCCCTTCAGCAGGCTGGCACGCAGCTGGGGGTGGCCGCTGTGGGCAGACACTGGTGCACACAGGGCCGGGGGTGGGTGTCACACACACACACACAGTGTACGGGGGTGGCACAAAGCTGGGGGCATATTGCAGCTGCCATCCTGCAAATCATCTGACCTTCTCATGCCCATTGAGACCACAGCGACCCTAGAGGCAGCCCAGCATGTTTGCTAGGCCTGGGGCACCCTCTTCAGCCAGCATAAAGCCCTTTGTGGGTGTGAGCTGCTGCCCTCCAGACAGTTTTGTCCATGCATTTAGACAAAGATAAACCCAGGGACCACAGGAAAACGCCAAAATGGTGTTTATTAACATCCAGATAAAAAACTCAACAGTGTTGTCCTATCTGACATGGTCTGGAGTTTCCCAGCCAGCGAGAGTGGGGCCAGGAAGCAGGCTGGACGTCAGGCACTTGACAGGCCCCTCTCAGGCACTTGGTTCTCCCAGGCTGCCCTGGAGAGAGAGGGGCTGGGTAAACCTGGGCCCCGAGGTACTGCTGCTCCAACTTGGGCCGAATTCAGGACCAAATAACTATCAGTCAGCAGCTCTCTGCCACCTCAGAGCTGATCAGAGCGTGGAGAGACCCTTGATTTAGGAGAGGCTTCTTGCCACAAGCCCGGCCATGTACATTCAGGAGTTAGGAGCACCCCCAGAGATGCACTTCCCGGAGAGGAAGTCCCTGACCCTTCAGGACTAGATGGGAGATGAGCCCTGATGTGGAGACAGGCTTGCTTGCCAGAGATCCAGTGAGCAGGTGGGGTTAGGGGGACTTGTACTGGCTTGTACAAGCGAAAAAAGGTTAAAAACAGCCCCTCCCTCCACTTCTCAGTTGACATGAATAAGACCACTTTGTAGGCAGAGGGCAGTATCAGGATGGCTGGGCCCACAGAGGAAGGCCACGAAGGACCACTAAGGAGGAAAGTGCAGCAGAGAAGGGCTAGGCTTCCCGGGAGGCAGGCAGGCTGGACCTTGTAGCCTCAGGGAGACTAAAGAGGGCTGAGCCTAAGAGGGACACCGCAGTGGAAGAGAGGTCAGCCACCCAAGAAAGCAGGGGTGGACCCTCGATGCCCCTTCTCCCTCATTCCCTCCTTCACTCAACATTCATGGACAACAGTATCTCCAGTCACCATGGTAACCAGTGGCCGGATGCCTTTCCCAAGGCTGGGCTGGCCTGCCTACCCTTGGGGGTTGGGGAGTGGGGAATCTGTGTGGAGTAAGGAAGACCCAGCCACAACTCCTAGTGGCCTATAAACCTGAGGCCATGCCCCAGGGTGGGACGGAGCCACGGTTCCATTAAGACCACCCTGACCAAAGGCAGGGCAGCTCCAGCGGGGGGTTCTCATCCCTTGGCTGTGGGTCTACTCTGGGCTCTGAAGGAGGTTTGCTCAGGGCCCCCATCCTGAAGTTCCAGGTGAAAAATTAAAACGCAACAAAATAATCATTTTGTTTAAAAAATAGACCTCCAAGGAGCCCCCTAGCCAGGCTCCGGCACAGTCCAATGTGTCCCCAGGCTGAGTGGCCTGGCTCTCCCATCACTCCGTGAGCTATTGGTTGTTACAGCCCTGCGAGGCCGAGGAACTGCCCGCCTGCTTTTTCCTCCGCTTGTTGAGGAGCCGATTGTTTGAGGTCTTCAGGTCCTTGATCTTCACCTGGTCATAGTCTACCCTCATGGTGGCAAGGGCGCTGGTCATCTCCTCCTGGGGTTAAACAGGAAGATCAGAGTTCAAAATGTAATGGTCTCAGGTGTCCTCCAGCCTGGGTGCTCCCTAAGTAACATCAAGAATTGTGATAAAAATGTGTATTGTCAAAAAAAAAAGTGTACTGTCCAAGTGCCCACCGTGAACCTGGCACCAGGCCAAACCCTTTGTATAACATAATCCTACGACAATCCTTTTTGGTGTGCATGTGCTGACCGACTAAGGTACAAGGGAGTGTCCCTTGGGATGACACAGAGGCTAAGTGAGGCTGGGACTTGGGGGTGCTATTGTACTGGATACTTGGGGCCTAAAGATTCCCTAGATGCCCTGGTCTCTGAATTACTGCTCATAAGCTAAAATCCAGCCCCTGCTATGTCCAAACCAAGGCTGGGGTCAAGGCCTCTTCACAGCGCCCCAGGCTCAAAGGCTCCCTTCATGTGCGCTGAGTGCTGTCACTGGGGCCCTGGGCCATCACGAACACCTGTGCTCCGGCTATGATGAGGGGCCAAGGCCTAATCACTGGGTAACCACTGCTTTGGAGAGACTTCCAAAAGCCTTGGAACCTATCCATGGAGATATTGAGGCAGGGCAACCCACCTTGACTTCATCCCAGTGGTCTTTGTCCTCTTGAAGCACTCGGGCTGTGTGGAGAGGGGTCTGTGGCACCACCATCAATTGCTGGAAAGACCCGAAACCCCAAGGATTAGAACTTGTAGGTACTGGAAATAGCATTGGCTCCACTATCACCCACCCCTTCTCCTGGTCTCAGCTAGAGAAACTGAGCCTCAGGGAGGTGAAGGAGCCTGACTAGTGCACTGAGAAAGCCAGGTGGCAGGTGGACACTACTACACTCTCGGGTGCACAGGCCCATTCCAGCCCCATGCCAAGACCACTGGGTCTGGGCAACAAAACCCTGGTGGCCCCTCTCTAGCTTACCACCCTGCCCACCACAGGACAAGCTGGCACTCACATTGATCCAGGGATGGTTCATGAACTGTGTGATGGTCAGCCTCTCTGTGGGGTCTGTCTTCAACAGGAGGCGGATCAGCTGCTTGGCTAGGGAGGCCAAGGAGAGGAGGGGAGAGATGAAGTCGCAGGGTTCCTCAGAGCCAGTTTTCTGGCCTTCCCCACTGACTACAAGCTCTGTGGGGGCAGGGGCTGCATATGCCTCTTCTCACCACCCTATCTGCTGTGCCTGGCACATAACTGAATAATGGGGTAACCTGAGACCTTTTTATGCAGAGGTCAGAGAATTCTGGGGTCAGAAGGGATGTAATAGTTGACTAACTGTCTTGGGAAAAGAAGGCTGTGGCCATCAGTCAGTCCGCAGGACGGTCCCCAAAGATGCCCTACCTTCCGGTATTCAGGCCTTCCTCCAGGCCCACCCTACATGGCATTAGAGTTGGGCTGAGACCAATAGAGAATGGCAGAAATGATGGGATGGTCTTCTTTGTTATCCTTGGATTGCTGCCTCTGGGGGAGCCCAGGTGCCGTGCTGTAAGGATATTCTAACATCCCATTGGACCCGGACAATGAGTCACGTTGGCAAAGAATCTCTTTCAAACAAACAAAAAAATCCTCAGTGTCGTTGAGTCAATTCTGACTCACAGGGACCTTCCCTCGGGATTCTGAGGCTGTACATTTTAATGGGAAGAATCTGCCCATCTTCCTTCCATAGAGTGAGTGATTGGTGGGTCCAAACTTCCAGAGACACCCAGCCTTTTTGGTTAGCAGCATCATGTACCATGGACTATGAAAGCCTTAGTTTTCCTTGTTGCTGCCAAGCAAATCCTTGCTGACCCTCCAACAAGTTTTCAGCAACAGTAAAGGACACTGGAGGAGATTGCCCATCTAGATCTCCCACTAGAGCTGCCGGTGGATTTGAACTTCTGGAGGAAATGCCACATTTGGGTTTGTAGCACAATTCTCTACCCACGAGTCTATCAGAGCTCCTGAATCCCTTAGATCTCCTAACCCTTCATATAATTGCAGCCTGGCCTGACATCTTGTCTGCAACCTGAGAAGGGACCAAGGACCAGAACTACCCAGCTAAGCTGCTCTCAAATTCCTGGCTCGCAGAAAGAGTGAGCCAATAGATGTTTATTATTTCGTGCCACTAAGCTAAGTTTGTTAAGCAGCAGTAATAACTAATTTGGGCAGACTCATTTGTGGTTCACAGAGAGGAAAACGTGATAGATGGGAATTGGGACTTACGGGGAATTCTGAGTTCATGTGGCATACAGACGGGACATGGGGAAGCCAGGGTGTAAATACAGGTCAGCTTGACTCCCAAGCGGTGTCTCCCACAATGAAGGCCAAGGCACTCACCATCCTCAGAGACTTCGCACCACTCGGGGCTGGGGAAGCCGTACTGACCCAGGCGGATCCTTCTCTTCATCCCTGGGGAGATGGCCTGGCCCGTGTTGGAGTAGAAGGGTGGGAAGCCGCACAGGCTGGGGGAAGGTAGAGGTCATTTGGCACAGTGATGGGGAGTAGTACCAGGGCAGTGCCATTCTCCTCCCCAAGCCCCTGGCCAGGAAGACAGTAGATGGACATTCTGACAATAATACCAGCCCTTGAGACTCCCGGGCACATCCCAGGAATACCATGTGCCCTTGGCAGGGGAAATCCTTCAGAGGCAGCCTAAAGTAGGATGGGGGAGTTGTCCCATGAGCAGAAGAAGAGGGTTAGCACTATGGCTCATTCAAGCCCATCACCTAGGGCTAAGGGGGCAGACGTGGTACTGAGGATGAGGAGTGGGAGGGGCAGTAGGATGAGGGTGACACTCACAGGATGTACATGATGACGCCCAGGGACCACATGTCACAGGATTTGTCATACTTCTCTGGACCCAGGACCTCAGGGGCTGCCAGAGCAGAGGGCAGAGAAAGGCCTTCAGTCCCAAGGGTCATGGGACCCAGGCAGGAGCCTGAGGCCTGGGCGAGGTGGGAGCAGGCGCCCTGGCTGGGGGATGGGGCTGAGCAGACTGGTGTCTGGCACCTTCTGAGAGGCAGCATGTGTGTGAAGTTGGGGGAGGAAAAACAGCTCCCGGAAAAAATGTGCCCGCTTCCAGGCTTCTAGGCGAGGCTGTGAGGAGTAATAGCCCCCAAGCTTCTTTGGGTTCAAAGCTCCTTGCCAGATTCAACCTGGTCATGAGATGAAAGGGGAGACCATGCTAGGGGCAAGATGGGGTCCTGCTGGAGGTAAGATGGCCCACCAGCTGCCTGTCCCCCCTGAGGTCACAGGAATGGAGGAGTTGGGGCAGGGATCTGAATTCCACTACCCAGCCACCAGGCCGTGGTCCTCCATCTGTGCAATGAACTGTTAAAATACAGCCAAATATATCCTGGCAAGTAAGGTGCCATCTCTGCTGCCTCAGAGGGCTTCCCACCCAGGAAATAATCTTCAGGGAAGGTTTTCCTAAGGGAGAGGAGTCTTCTGGGAAAAAAGTAATCTGCTCCATCCCCCAGGGAACGAACGGTCTATTTCAACAAGGATTTTTCCAGATCTGGGGGCTGCCCATTTGTCAGGGAGTGGGGAGTTTTTCCAGGAATTGTATGTGCATACCTAGACTTCCACCCATGGCTTGGTCTAAGGGACCCTCTCCTACTGGGCAGGTGGCTGGTGCCTTACATCCCTCTAATGGAGAAGGTAAGGCCTGCCTGCTTCCTGAATATGAATCCCAGGAAGATAAAAGCCAGAGAAAAACAACCGCAGTTGGGCTCCGTCCGAGCTGATGGCAGCCTTTTATCACGTATATATTTAGAGCTGCTGTGATGTCATTCAGCTCACAGGCCACAGCCAGAATTTTCCTGGATCTATTTTCAAAAGCAGAAGCTGAAGTTTGGAAGAATATTTTTGCAGCCTCCGGCCCCCCACGTCACCCACCTCCATGCAGAAAAAACCTCCCCCCTCCCTTCTTGCTGGGCTTTAACTCCTTCGGTTCTGCAACCCATGGTCTGTCCCACACCCCAGGGCGGGTACAGTAGGGGTGGGATGCACAAAGCAAAGACTCACCCACATAATAGGGGGTGTAGCAGGGTGTCTGCAGGGCATTCATAGTGGTTTCCTTGGCAAAGCCAAAATCGGTAAGCTTGAGCACCGCATCCTTCCCTTTGGATGTGTATAACAGGTTTTCAGGCTGGACCGGGAAGAGAAGATAATACAAATGAGAGTTGGGCACAGAGTAGGGATAGAGGACTGAGATGTATTTTAGTCTGACTCCTTCACCACTGTACCTGGGAAGGAGCCAGTTGTATCTCATAAAAACACCTGGACTTTCACTGCCAACAAGGTGGGTCAAGTGCAAAAAAAAAAGGGAAATTCCTGGGGTGAGAGGATGATGCCACCATTCACAGGGGGACAAGTGAGGCAGGTGTTCAGACAAAGTGTGAATGACCAAGTGCCACAGACAGCCCAGGGGCAGGAACTTGGATCCTGAGTTCATAAAGCTCCCATGATGTTCCAGGATGCAGCTTCCAGGAAAAGGCCAATTGCTCATGAGCACATGTCCCACACCCAGACCTCGGACCCACGGGAGGGTGCCTGAGGGGGAGAAGCATCCTGCAGAGACTCCAGGAGCCACACAAGGCAGCGCACAGAGGGGTCTACGGCTCTGGATGAGAGTGGCTGAGTGAAGGAGGCATTCCTGGATCTGGCTTTTAATGACTTGACAGATCCAAGGACAATGGGGGGATGCAGGAGGACCCCCAAAGAGAGATGAGGCAAGAGGACAAGATGTTTTGGGAGTTCTGGTTTAGAGGCAGCATAAGGCATTTCTCAGGTTCTGTTAGAGATGATCTGACCTTAACTTGGGGAGAAAACAAAGAATGAGTTTAGTGTATATATGATTTTTTTTCTTTGTAGTGGAGCCCTGGTGACAGAGTGCCCCATGATGTACTGGGTTGCTAAAATAAAGGTCAGCAGTTAAAAGCCCCACCATGCTGTGAGAGAAAGAAGGTCAGGCTCCTCCTACAAAGATGTGCAGCCTCGGAAACCTGCTGGAGGGCCGTTTCGAGTTGGAATCGGCTTGAAGGCAGTGAATTTGGCTTTGGTTTTCTTCTCTGCATAAAGTTTGTCTCCCTCCTTGACAAAATGAAGCCAGGACTATGGTGAGGCCAAGGCTCTGAAGGCGGGTCTGCCTTGTGTCAAAGGAGAACTGGATGGGTTGGTAGTACTCAGCCAGAGAGAGAGCCTGACCGAGCAGCTGGGCCCCCAGCTCTCCTCTGCCCAGGTCTCAAAAGGAAAGAAGCCAGCGTGGGTGAACTCGAGGCTGGGCCAGAGGTGCCTGCATGGGAGGAACAATTCTGCTCTGACACTAGCTCACACAGGTGTGTGGACATGTGTGCACACAGCTACATATGCTCGTGTGTGCGTATGTGTACGTGCAAGACAGTCTTTTATCCACATTATCTTGATGACCCTCAAAGCCCATCTTGCCAGGACATAAAACCTAGAGAGCAGGCTCACCAGAACATTCCCATAGGCCTCCAATGAAGGCAACCAAACCCAGCAACTGGACTGTCTCTGCTCCTTCCTCTAGTGCCCCCCAACTAGCTGTTGTTGTTGTTATGTGCCGTCAAGTTGTTTGCGACTCATAGCGACCCTATGTACAACAGACCTAAACCCTGCTCTATCCTGTGCCAATCGCACTGCCTCTGACACTCCCATCCCGAATTACCCTAGTCAATGAACCAATCCACTTCATAGAGGGCCTTCCCCTCCTGCGCTGTCCCTCTACCCTACCAAGCATGATGTCCTTCTCCAAGGACCTGTCTCTCCTTACAACACATCCAAAGTATGTCAGACGAAGCCCCAGAATCCTTGCCTCCAAGGAGCAGCCTGGTTTAACCCTCTCCAGGATGGATCTGTTTGTTTTCCCTTAAAATTCTGGCATTAGGGGCCTAATGGATCCCAACTATAGCTGTGACTTTATAAAAGCCCCATGACTGTCAGGAAGCCCCACCCTGAGGTCTGACAGTATGTGTACATGCAAATCCTTGTTGAAAGAATGAGCAGATGAATGAATGGCTCCCAAGACAACATCTTAACAGCTGCACAGCTTTGAGCAAGTCACTTCGTTTTTCCCCAGCTCCCTCTCTGTGAAGTGGGTAACGCACCTTGCTCACAGGGCCAGGTGAGAATGGACTGAGATGCCTGGCAGGGCCTACTGAGTTGAGGAAGGAATACTGTTATTCTCATTGCTACTGTGTTTGAAGGAAAAGAGGAGGCTTATTTGCCCAGAACAGAATGAGTCCACTGGAATTAAGGAAACAAGATGGAGAGGAGTGATCAGAGCCCAGGGCAGAGGTCATGAAAGTCAATCAAGGACCTTGGCCTCCATCCAGTGGACCTAGGAGCCCCTGAGGGTTCTGATGCAGAATGATGCTCCCTCCCTTGGTCCCCCCGCCTGGGTGCAGAGCCTTACTTTGACATCCCGGTGGGCGATGTTCCGGCTGTGCAGGAACTGGATGGCGGTACCAATATCCCGCATGATCTCTGCAGCCTCTGCAGACAGGAAGTGGGGAGGAGTTCAGGCAGTCTGGGGTTCATCTGCTCCCATCATCTTACCTGGGCACTCGAGTGGACCAGCATGAAATGACCTGCCACCCAAGATTCCTGTCCCAGACCCCCAGTGATTTCAATCACCCCAGTGTCCTCCAGGACTGTCTCCAGTCAACCAGATCTCCTCTGTCTGATCGGGGCTAACTCTCAGGTGTTGGTCAGCACTAACAGGTTTTGAGGCCTCCATCCCAAGGCCATTCTAACAGGGTCACAGACAGAGTGGACATCTATCACATCCTCTCTTGTTCAAGTGGGGAGACTAAGTTATGGAGAGGTATAGGGCCTTGCCCCCAGCATCCCATAGCCACTATGGTCAGTCTCTCTCACTCCACACTGCAGCTGGTCCAGTTGCATGTACATACCTCTCTCGGTGAAGGCCTGGTCACCACGCTCCTGGATCCTGCTGAATAACTCACCTCCTTCCATGCTGCAAGGGAAGGTGATGGAAAGTGAGCAAAGTGGAGAAGTATCAGGCACTTCTTAGAAAAAAGCCACATCACCATCCCTGGGTCTTACACAGACACATGGTATGCCTTCAGCTTAGATGGGTTGACCAGAACTCTTAGAACTGAAGGAGGGTGGGTGGATTCAGGTCCCTGCCAGAAAGCTCCCGTGTTCCCATTGGTACTGTCCTGCCCTGGCCCAGGTCCTGGGTAGCCCTTCCCCTATATGGAGCATAATTTCCTCCAAAATGGAATGAAACATCAAATATCATTATGATCATAACCATTAACACTTCTGAGCACCTACTGCACTGCTTTGTGATCCTAGGTTTATCTCGTCTTCGTATCTCTAGGTCTCATCTTCCTCTTCCATAACCTGGTATTAATCGTATCACCTTTGCAGAGTTTTGAAGGTTAAATAAGTGATGCATATTGAGTACTTAGAATGGAGTGAAACACAGAGAAAATATAACATGAAGACCTTCCTCCGCATTTTATATGTATGAGAGACGGACACGGTGAGTTCAGCAGCTGTTCAGATCACACAGCTAGTAAGTGACAGAGCCAGGATGTGATCGCCAAACCCAATGTAAGAGCTAGTTAACGTGTTTGTATGTGTAGTGAGGAAACAGAGGGAGGTGCTGGAGACCAGGTATACTACTAGTGAGAGAAGCCCAGGATGGAGGTCACTGGTTCCAGCCTCCAGTCACCCAGCATCTAGCAGGGCCATGGGAGGGCAGACACAGGCTGGAAGAAGAGAGTTGAGGAGCTATGTATGTCCCACTCCTCCTCAAATCCCACCCCATTTTTCATTCATGGCTTGGTGGCACTCTCTGATGACTCTTGCAGGATATCTTCATTGAGTGAAGTCACACTTGGGGAAACCATATTAGAATCACTCAAGGGAACGTCCTTGTGACCAGACCTATCCTTGTGACCAGACCTACTCCCTAAGAGGCAAATCCTGAATTAGTCCTCTACCTCAGGGACTGGCATGGCTCCCAGATAGCTCTGCAATCTCAAGAATGGAGAAGGCCCCTGGAGGAATGCTGAGAGCCTGGGGCCACAGAGGCATCGCGGGGCTGTGAGGCAGGGAGGGCTGGCATACCATTCCATGACGATGAGGAGGCAGCGCTTGTTATGATGCATGTTCTCGTACACGTCCAGAATGCGCACGATGTGTGGGCCACCGGAGGCCTGCCAGTGGTGGTCCACCTCCTGCCGGGCCTTGGGACTGTCGTACAGGAGCTGTGGGCAGGTGGGCACAGAGAGTGTCAGGCTCACAGCCCACTTCTTTGGCAGCCACCCAGACAGAGGCATTGCTTTCACTTCGCAGACAAGGATGCAGAAGCTCAGAGAGGTCTAAGACCTGCCCAAGGTCACACAGCTGATAAAGAGCAGAATGAAGATTCAAATCCAAGTTCCCCTGACTGGTGGTCCAATGTCACTTTGGACCTGAGGGTCAGCCCTGAACCCAAGCAGCTTGGGTTGGCTCAGGAAGGCAGGTGACAGATGAGAAAGACTCAAAGATCAAAGAAGCCCCTGCCTCTCTTCTGGGGGCAATGAGTGAAGTAAGCATCTAATGCACTTTAGGAAGGTGCTCAGTTAGCCTAGTGGTAAGAAAGTGCACTACAATCCCTGGTGCATTTTAGGGTCAAATCACCCTGGCCACGAAACCACCTCACTTTAATGTCAGTCTCCTATTTAGAATAGGATGACATGGTTGTGGCTAATAATGGAACTAACATGTAAATTAAGTACACAGAATGACACCTGACACATAAGTACCCAGCACCTCTATGTGAAACAAAGTGGCCCAAATCCACTGTCACTGAGTAGCTTCAGACTCATACACCCTTATAGGACAGAGTAGAACTACCTGTGTTTCCAAGGCTGTAAACTTAACTTTCAGAGAAGCAGATTGTAACATTCTTCTCTCTCTAAGCAGCTGGTGGATACGAACCACTCACTTTTTGGTTAGTAGCTGCTTTAGCTACTGTGTCATCAGTACTCCTAAACAAAGTAGAGTGTATCTGAAATCTATGGAAAACAAAGGATGTACTGATGTGGACATCTGCTCTGTAGCTGTTGCACTGTGAAGCAACAGCCAGAGTGGCAGGCCAGGCTGTCTGCAGGAGACTTGGAGGCCTACGAGGCCTCCCCTCTTGTGGCCTTCAGTGCCCCCCCTCACTAGCACACAGCTTTGGCCCAAAGCAGAGAGAGTACAGGTCACACTCCTGAAGGAGCGGGGCTAATTAAGACTTCACATTTTATAAGAACAAGTGCTGGAATGACATTGCTGCTCTTCAGAAAAGTGCTTCTAAAATGAGTTGCTTGGTCATGATCTCTTATGAGTCCCAGTTAAGTCCCTGGATTCAGAGGCAACTTCACAGCCTTCCTGAGAAGCACTTTAACTGCAGGGCTGGAATGATAATGTCATCCTCACTGCTGGTGTCTTGGGGCCACCTCAAGGTGACTCGGCTGCCACGTTCAGCCCTCCTTCCCATGCCTGCAGACTCCCGCAAACAGAATGAGAACCCAGTGGGGCTGAAGGCAGGATGACTCGAGTTTAGGGGGAAGTGCTAGCCAAGCCAAGTAAGATCTGGGTTTGGAATGGAATTAACCCAATGACTCAGTGAAGCCTCAGGTGTAGAGCTGCCTACCCAAGGCCCAGAAACATTCAGTTTCCAAGACGAGGACTGAGGTTTATTGCCAAGACCACATTTGATTAGCCCACACCCCTCAGCACCATAGGACCTTGGCTACCTCTCATCTTGGGTTTTCCCCTCTATAGGAAGGGGCTACTTTACACAGGGTGCTGTGGGGGGCACATTCTGGGGTCAAACTGTCTAGACAAAAGTAAACTGGTGTCCGAACAAGAGCACAAGAAGGGCAAATGAAAGAGGAAAGATCCAGTTGAAAAAGAATGTATATAAATTTTATGAACTTTGTATGTAAACCAGTGTAAAATTAAAAAAAAAAAAAAAGTGTGGCTTCTCCATGTCTGTTTGTGTCGCATTCCTCCATCACTGGGCCCTATCTTGAGATTTTGAGAGTGCAAGGGCCAGGTAAAGCCCCTCTACCAGGCCAGGGGCAGGCCCCTGCTCCATTACCCAGGCCAGGATTAGAAAGCGAGTATGTGGAAGCTGCTGGAGCACACGTGCCTCCCAGAATGCCCCTCTGACTCCTAGTCACAACTCTGCCATTCCCATTCAGAACCCCCAAGCGTGTCCCAAGGCAATTCTAGCCAGGTATGCCCTAGTCCTTAGACCACAAGACCCAAAGTTCACCTTCCTCCCTCTCCGCTCTGCTCACTCTGTATCCCTTTCCTGCTTTGTCTCCTCTCTCTCAACTTCTACCACTTCTCTCAAGCCTAACCTGACCACATCCTGCCAGGACCTCAAGCTAGCTTCGGAGCACCTTTCCACTCTATAGTCCCTTGTGTCTCACCCTCCAGGCCAGTATCCTCTCTCTCTCATCTCAAAATCCCAAGTCCGTCGCGGGAATGTTTTTAGAGGAAGCCCACCTCTCCTGTCAACCTCTGGGTTTATACAGAACTGGCCACAGACCACTTTCCCGCTCTTTAAATTTCCCCGCCATCATCCAGATAAAGACACCTCCATCCCTGGGCTAGAGGCCTGGCTTCCCCTTTCACCTCATGCCCTACCACCCTTGGGCCCCAAGACCATTTTATTTGGGGCAGAGTGATGAAACGGGCTTCATTCTTTCAAATCTCTATGCTCAGGCCCACTCTGGTCTCTCTGCTAAAATGCGATCTTAGCCAGAATCTCTAGGCTAAATTCTGACATCTTCTCTAGGAAGCCCTCCTGGTACCTCTGCAGAGCTAACTTTCACCTCTACTCTCCCACTTATCAGGTTGAGAACAAGGCAAGGGCAGAGAAGCCAGGTCAGGCTAAGCTGAGAAGAAACCAGAAGAAAACACTGAGTTCCTACCCAAAAACAGGAGGGGACAATGAGCACACGGCCAGAGGAGATGAGGAACCGGGAAGAGAGAGAGGAGGGAGGCCAACGAGGGACACGACAGCATCGAGGCCTCAGCCTGCAACTTGTGCTTTGTTGAAGCAGCAGAGAAGGTGGGACTGCCCTCCTCTGAGGCCTCTCACTGCCTCCCGCCCGACTCAGCCCATATTTAGGAACCCATTTCCCACACAGATTAAAATAGTCTTTCCCCAAGTGCCAGGGCCTTGAAAATAGGCAGAAGGGTGGGGAGAGGCCCATCCTCAGAAAACACAGTAAATGCCCCACTGGCCTCGCTACAGAGGAGAGAGAACAGAGGGCAGGCCCCAGCCCTGCCCTGGCCTAGCTCCAAGGACAAATGTGTCTCCTCGGCTGACCTTGGATACAAACCCAGACTCTCAAAGGCTGACTCCTCATCTTTCTCCCCGAAGGTCCACGCTTTCTCATCCACCGGGAGTCCTCTCAACGTCACCTCCTCTCAAAGCCCTTCCAGACCACTCTGTCTAAAGTGGACCTCAGGGGTCCCTTCTCTCCTACCCCTTTTATTTCCCTTTCTTTTTATTTAGACTCTCTTTACTGAGATATCTCAATTGATTCATAGGGAAAGGCACAAGTCCCCAAGAGGCCAGTTCAATGAGTTTTTACAATTGCACCCATCCTGGTGACAAGCAACACCCCCATTAAAACAAAGAACATTCCCAGCTCCCCCAAAAGCTCCCTCGTCATCTCCCTTTTTACCTCCTGTGCAGCACTTGCTTACAACCTGCAATTAGCTTGTTCTTTTGAGAACTCTTAAAACAAACACACATAGACACACACACACACACACACACACACACACACACACAACTACTAAACTTATAGTGTGCCAGCTCTGTTCCCAGCACTTTTTAAGTATCTGGAGGAAAAAGTTCATTATCGCCATTTTTTTTTAGATGTTAAAACTGAGGCACAGAGAAAAGAGCCCTGACCACTCAGCTCTTCTCCAGCTAGGCCAGCTTCAGGCTGTCTCCCTTATCAAACTGTGGTCATTGCTGGGTTCTAATCTCTACGTGGAACTTGGCACAGAGTGCTGGCTCAGGTAATACTCAGTGATTTCATTAACAAGTCTATAAAGTAGAGGTAAGAGGAAGAAAACCCTACAAGTTGTAATGAGGTCAAAGTCAGATTAAAAGGGAAAGTTTCCCCAAGAGACTCAATGAGTGAGACACATGACAACTTGGCCAAAGTTGCTCCCCATTGCTCAGGGGCACCTTGCCCACTCTTGGCCTGGAGGGCAAAGAAGACTTTGCCTCCCCTTCCAGGGAGCCCACCCTGACTGCTCCAGCCATGAGCAGTTATTGCTACAAGCTGGCCTCACTCACACAGTACATGACACTACACTGTGTCCTCCGAGCATGCACTCTATCTTCCCAGGCACAGAAAGAAACACAAGGTCAGGAGGCTGGGCACCCAAATTCTAACCTCATTTGCAGTATGACCTTAGGCAAATCCTTCTACCTTTTTGGGCCTCTGTTTTCTAAAGGTTAAACTTCAGGTTATAGACAAGATTCAGACAGGCACATGTGTGGACCTCCAGATGGGGGTTCCCTGATCTTAGCCCCCTTCTGCATTATTTCCCTGATGGAGCAGCTACTGGGTATCCACAAACCCACATCTACGTATGGGAGCCCACCGGGAATGGAAATATTGTCTCAGTCCCCAGTCACAGCACGGTGGATAGGGAGATGAAGGGTCTTCTGCCAACTCAACAGGCCCATACCCTTGCGTCAGTCCATCCTATGTCCTCCAGTCTTGCCTAGAGTCCACCAGAGCTGGTGTCTGTGATGTTACTTGGGCAGCTCCACAGCTCCACCTTGTGCCTGACAGGTAATCCCACAACCACATGTTCATGCGGTGAGGCTTTGTGTATAGCTGGGGAGGAGTTCCTGGCTATACTTGAGATATAGGTTCCAGCCGAAACTCACCAAGCATGGAATCTGAGATGGCATAACCTCCCACTTTGATGGGATAGTTCCACCTCTTCCTTCTTCGGTCTCTTTTCTCAAATTCTCTCACTGGTCCCTAAAGCTGGCAGCTGGACAGCCAATGCTCTTACTGACTCTACTAGTCAGTGAGTCCCGCAAGGCTGAGGGTGGAGGGGCCTACACTCACAGGGAAACTTGCCAGGCTCATCTTAGAATTACCAGGTAGAATGGAGACTTCGGACTGGGCCAGACTCCTGCCTAAGGCTTCCACATGAATAGATGGTTTCTTCTTTCTCAAGATGG